AAAACGATAAAAAATGTATGCGTCGTCTTAATATATCCAGTTATAATAACTTAAAAATTTTTACAAAAATTTGTGACTCAACTTAAACTTTCAAACTTAATTAGTTACTTAAGAAGAATAACAATAATACAAATAATAATTTGTAATAAACATGTTTTACACAAATACTTTAAAATAATTTATACAAGAATAATTAATTTTAAAAATATTTAAATACAAACAGAATATTTGTGTGTGGAAGTATTCCTTAATAAATTCTCGATTAAAAAACTGTAAAAACAATTATTCCTCTGTATTATAGGATATTATCGCGTCTATTATGATGCAGAAAGCTGGCAAAAACTTCTGCGCTACTTGAACTCTGAAAATTATTCGAAAATGCATATTCTTTATCCTGCTAAAATCATCGATGACGCGTTTTATTTCTTTTTACAAAAAAAACTCAGTTACGACTTGTTTTGGATTCTTACGAGGTTCGTAATACAAGACGCAAATTTTGTCACATGGTATCCTATGATTAAAATTTTCGAATCCTTTGCTTGCCTATATCCGCTTGAATATGGTTTGAAAGTAACGGTAAGTAATAATTTCCATGAAAAAGAGTTACATATTACACACTGTTTATTATATAAATAAAACTAATAGTATTAAATTTCAATTTAACGATTTTTTAGAAAGACATGAAAAGCAGAATAAATCAACTTCTTACAAAAATAGGGTACACTGAAAAACCGACAGATCACACTCTTACTATATATTTGAGAGAAGAAGCTGTAAAATGGGCATGTATACTCAATGTTTCTGAGTGCCAAGAAGTAGCTACTTCGAAATTCAACAAGGAGCTTCAAAATTCTGTAGAAAACAGGTAAACCCGCTTTACAGCCATAATATTTAATCAGAATGTTGTTGCATTTATGCTGGTTTTGAATTATTTCATCATTAAAATTTCGAATTTCAAGCGAATTTGTAATAAAAATTATTTTTCTTGATGCAGTAATTTGATAAGGAAGAAATGGATATACTGCTATGGTTTAAGAATTGCAAACCACACTATTTGGTACACGATATGGGAAAAATGGAAGGCAACTGATGAAAGTTATATAGAATACCTAACTTGCTCTGAAAATTATGATATTATTTGCGCCTTTTTAATACTATTAGAAAAAATTCAGTCTAATGATAGGAAATGGATCACTAGGCGTGCTAATGTATTTCTTTTTACTGTTGCCAAACATGCAAAAACAAAACAAGTGAATTCTTGTCTTTTGAAAATTTTGAAAGATATTAGTTTCAGTTCAAATAGGTATTATCATTTTTTTTTTTAAATACAGGATGTCCCAATAAAATATATACAGATTTTATTGTCACATATTTCAACAAGTAAAATAGACAGATATTATCTGTTGTTGTGTTTGTTACTTAAAGTTACAAATGTTGAAAATGACCACCATCAATGGCCACCAATGATGTATAACTGAGCGATATACATATTGTATTGTTTCCAGTGAAATCACAGCACAGGCATTTTCAATTTTGTGTTTCAAGTCCCGCAGTATTCTCAGTTTTGTAGCGCATAGAGTGTTGTTTAGAGTGGCTCAAGTAAAAGTCCAGTGGTGTTAAGTCAGAAGATGTTAAATGGATATTTCACACTTCCTCTTCAACTTATCCATCTTCCGGGGAAAATGACATAAAAAAAATTTTTCTTATCGGTTTGGTAATGTGGTTGCACATAATGCTAAAAATAACACTCTTCATTCAAGAACAGGTCATTAAAAGCTGGTATAACGTTGTCTCGCGGAATTGAAAATGCCTGTGTTGCCATTCCGCTAGAAAAAATACAGCGTGTATGTCGCTCTGTTACACATCAATAATGCATTGATGCTGATGATCACTTTGAACATTTGTAACTTGAAGGTAATCAGCACATCGATAAGACAACGTCTACCCATTTTACTTCTTAAAATGTATGGTAATAAAATGTGTACACATTTTATTGGGACATTCTGTATATCTTTGTATTTATGCAATATTTCTTAATTATTCATATGTTATAATAATTAATCATTAATATTTGCTGTATTTATAAAATTTATAATTTTTTTGCTTCGCTTTTGTAGAAGAAATGATATAATTGCAACGTTAATTGTAATTATAACGCATACAAACGGTGTACATCACACAGAAGAGGTATACTTTTCGAATTTTACATTAACACACTCATTTCTTGATATCTAAATATAAAGTTTTATATCCACTTATATTTGATACATATTTGACGAAAATTACCCTGTTCACTGTAAATTATACTCTGCCAGACTGCAATTTTGACTAGATATTTGTATTTATTGATATTATTGAAATAATAATTGTTTTAGATAATTAAATTCGCATCGAATTATCAAATAGCTAAAGCTGTTGAAGAAAAAATAAAGAAACAAAGATTGGAATACGGAGTCCTTGTCAGAAACTACTGGTACTACTTTTAGACTTACTGGTAGACTCTAATTGTAAGTGAAGCGACATAAATAACGAAACATTTGAATTAATGGAAGACAACAATTCATTTGTTGTTCACATACAATTATATATCGATAATTCTTATAATCTCTTTCTTAATTTTTATCAAATAATACCTGAGTATTTGTAATTATTTAATTTTTTTCTTAATTATTTTTATTATCTTAATATTATTGTTATTCTTAGTGCTATAAATTTTGCATAGCACATATATTTCAATTCTTTAATGTATAATAGAGAGATTGTCGATTATCAATTAAAATAAATACACCAAGACGTGCACGAGCATCTAACCGTGATTTATTAGCCCATTTTCCTTATAGAATTTCATTTTGTAATATATAGCGTCTTATTTGTAAACTTAATTACAAAGGCTAAAATGAAAGTTTCATTAGTTTCATCCTGATATCATCTAGTTTTCAGAGTATTCGTTGACGTCTCCGCATGATTCTTTAAAAGCCCATGTCGAAAAAAACTCGACAATCTCTTATCGCGCATAAAAATCCTACGAGAGAGGACGTAACGTCGAAGTTGAAAATCGCGTCGGGCCATCGGCGGCTGTCCCGCGGGAGACGTTACCGCTTGGCCACGCTCGTACGTGCCCAAAAAGGGGAGGTCCTGTCCCAGAAGAGCGATTTCCATTGCTTTGTTCGGCGAAGGAGCTGTGACGGCGGTCTTCATTAGTGACTAAGCCACTATATGGGACCGCCAACCACTATATGTGAATAAATGCGCACCCATACGATCCTGAAATTTGCCGTTTGTGTGTGTCGAATATATGTATATATATATGTGTGTGCACTGGGTGACCAAAAG